GATGCTCCCAGTGAAAGTGCTGACCACCAGAAACACCCACAACAGCAGGAACGGAACCCGCACAGGCGCGCGCGCCCCCGGAAGAACGTGGGCTCCGCGAGTCGGAGCCGCGGACGGGGCAGGCCGCGCACGCTCCCAGAGCGCTGGGCTCGGGGGCGGGGGTGAGGGAGGCCCCGCCCATATGGGGCGGAGCTGAAACTGACAGCCGCGGAGGCCCGGAAACGCCTTCGGTTGGAGGAGCCTCGAACGACAGCCCGGGGGCGGAGCCCCAAGTGACAGCCCGGGAGCGGAAGTCCCGGGAGCAGTGGGCAGAGCTCGCTCCGCGGAGCCGGAAGCGCCTCCCGCCCGGCAGGGGCGGGGCCGAGGGGCGGGGCGGAGCCTCCAGCCAGTGCGGACGGATGCTGCGGTGATACCCGGGAGGGGAGGAGTGCGGGGCCTCGTGCTGCCGCGGGGCTTGCTCAGCGCCATAGTAAGACTGGTAACATGGAACTGCCCTCGTCAGGCGGGAAAGGACCGGAGGCCGACGCCCCCCTTCCTCGGACCACCGTGAGGGACCGGCGTTTGCTCTTCCCGGGAGCTCAGGGACAGGACTTCCTTCCCCGCCCCGCCATCCGACCACCCTCCCAGAATCGCCTTCCAACAGCGGCGTGGACAAGCGGGAGGACCAATGTCCACTCACTTCCCCCCTACCCAGGCAGGGCTCCTGCGCATCCTGTCGACCACCTGGGAGGGCTGCCTGCCCGCCACCTTTCGTTGTCACTCCCTGTAACCGGAAACAGTTCTACCATTTATTTGGTGCCTGCTCGGTGTCTGCTCCGCTGGCGTGTGCCAGTTTTCATCCAGAACGCACCCAGACACATCTTTCGTCAGTGCTTCTGCCTCCTCGCTTCCACTCCTGCCATGTTCCGTTGAGCGGAGTCGTCTTCTAGAAACCTGATGACATCCAGGGCTTCCTAAGACACCGGAGTAAAATCCAGGCTCTTTGCCAACAAGCCCTGACCCCAGCTACCTCTGCCCTCTTCTTACACCTCCCTGCCATCATGCTGGCTGCAAGTGGAGCGAGCTCAGGAAGTGTCCCCGTGGTTAGTACACCGCAACATCAAGCGGACGGTAAGAAAAGGTCAGATTAAAATGCATACTCTAGAGGATGAAGGATCCCAGGACAGAATCACAGGAGGAAGGAGAGAATAAAACGGACCTGGTACCAGGACCAGACTGAAGCTGTGTTCAGCCTGTGAGCCAGGCCTTAATGAGTCTTCCCCAACCCCATCTTGACCTAGTAGTTCCACTTTAGGGATACCCTTCCTAAGAAAATGTTCCCACATACAGAAAAAGGTTTGTGCTCTTGATGGTGTTTCTTATAATAGTGAAAACGAAAACCTGCCTGACTCTACAAGTAAGCACACTCAAATGGAATATAGTTTTGTGGGTTTTTAAAAAAATTATTTTGTAGAGGGAGAGCGAAGGGCGGGGAGGGTCAGAGAGAGGGGGATAATCTTAAGCAGGTTCCATGCCCAGTGCAGAGCCTGACCTGGAGCTCGATCTCATGACCCTGAATAATGAGCCAAGCCAAAGTCGAGTCAGCTGCTTAACCGACTGAGCCATGCAGGCGTCCCTGGAACACTATAGTTATTAAAAATGTATACAAAGGGGGTGCCTGTGTGTCTCAGTGGGTTAAGCATCTGCCTTCAGCTCAGATCATTATCTCAGAGTCCTGAGATAGAGCCCACATCGGGTTCCCTGCTCGGTGGGAAGCCTGCTTCTCCCTCTCTCACTCCCCTTGCTTGTGTTCCCTGTCAAATAAACATTTAAAAAAAAATGTATACAAAAGGGGCGCTTGGGGGGCTTGGTTAAGAGTCTGCCTTTGGCTCAGATCATGATCCGGGGGTCCTGGAATAAAGCCCTGAGTTGGCTCCTTCCTCAGCGGTAAGCTGGCTTCTTCCTCTCCCTCTGCCTCTCCCCCTGCTTGTGCTCTCTCTTGCTCAAGTCAAATAAATTTTTTTTTTTAATGTATATAAAGGCAACATAACAGCATAAAAAATTCTTGTGATAGTCCTTGCAAGTAAATGAGCAAGATGCAGGATATAAAAAGTTCATCCTTACAAGTGTGTTTTTATTTATTTATTTTTAAAGATTTTATTTATTTATTTGACAGAGATCACAAGTAGGCAGAGAGGCAGGCAGAGAGAGAGGGGGAAGCAGACTCCCTGCTGAGCAGAGAGCCCGATGTGGGGCTCGATCCCAGGACCCTGAGATCACGACCTGAGCCGAAGGCAGAGGCTTAACCGACTGACCCACTCAGATGCCCCACAAGTGTGTTTTTAAATAAGCAACCCAACCTGTTCGGAGAAAGTAAGACAGAAAAGATACCTGTGAAATGCTGACAGTGGCTGTAGTCTGCCCCTGTGCTGTGCATGCCCCTTGATCAGGCGAGGCGGACCTCGTTATCCTCACCCTGAGACAAGGGAACTGAGGCTTGGGAGAAGGAGGTGCTGCTACTCTCCAACAGCAGCTCCTCCCAGCGGTGCCCTTGCTCCTACCCGCCCCACCACTTGCTGCCACCCTCCAGGCTCTCAAAGCTCACCTCACACAAGTCCCTTAGGTAGAGCAATACCTTGTCTTCCTCAACAAATGGAATTGCAAAGCCCTTCAGGGCTGGGTCCACATCAGATTCCTCTATCTCACAAGGCCCCACAGATTCTTACCCACAGCATATTTGAATATTAATACATGAAGACTATGTGGGGCACCTCGGTGACTCAGTTGGTTAAGCATCTTTTTTTTTTTTTAAGATTGTATTTATCCACCTGACAGAGATCACAAGTAGGCAGAGAGGCAGGCAGAGACAGAGAGGAAGGGAAGCAGCCTCCCCGCCGAGCAGAGCCTGATGCAGGGCTCGGGTCCCAGGATCCCAGGACCATGACCCAAGCCCAAGGCAGAGGCTTAACCCACTGAACCACCCAGGCGCCCCTAAGCATCTGACTCTTGTTCTCAACTCAGGTTTTGATCTCAGGGTCTTGAGTTCAAACCCCACATTGCGACACCCAGTGTGGAGCCTACTCTTTAAAAAAAGGTGGGGAGAGAAAGAAAAAACACCATGAAAGCAACCCCCCGCCAAAACCAAGAAAACCTCACGGAACCCACTCCCAGAGTAAATGAAGGTAAGTGTGCTCTCACCCTCCGCACTAGCTGACTGCTGCACTGGACTGCCCTGCAGGGTGCACGGTGCACACACGGGAAGTAGCCAGGCTTCCCTGCTATTTTTTCTGGGGCAAGCCTGCTCTCCGATCCCAAAGGAAGTCTGATGCTCCCAGTGAAAGTGCTGACCACCAGAAACACCCACAACAGCAGGAACGGACACATCTGGAGCAACAGGCCAGCAGAAAGGGGCTCCCCCAGAGGGCCTTAGGGGTGGGTGTGGCTAGCACCACAGGGCATAACATTAAGAGAAAGCAAAGCACAGAACACTGTGTCTTATGACTAAGGGGAAAGAAATGAGAATACACATTCTTATTTGCTCGCCTTTTCATGTAGAAATGGAGGATGAACATGTAATGAGTCATCACAGGAGCGCCTGGGTGGCTCAGGTCCCCACCATCTCAGGTCCTGGGATCAGCCCCGCTATCTGGCTCCCTGCTCATTGGGGAGTCTGCTTCTCCCTCTGCCTCTGCCCCTTTCCCCGACTCGTGCTGTCTTTCAAATAAATAAAATCTTAAAAAGAGAAAGGGTCAGGGGCGCCTGGGTGGCTCAGTGGGTTAAGCCTCTGCCTTCGGCTCAAGTCGTGGTCTCAGGGTCGTGGGATCGAGCCCCGCATCGGGCTCTCTGCTCAGCAGGGTGCCTGCTTCCCTTCCTCTCTCTCTCTCTGCCTGCCTCTCTGCCTACTTGTGATCTCTGTCAAATAACTAAATAAAATCTTT